GACGGGTTTCTTTGTTGTAAAATCTTAAATCTTCTAAAGGTGCATGCAGTGTCATAATCAAAGCATGTTCTCTAAACTCAATATGAATCTCTGAATAAGGCCTCTGTGAGGGGCAGTCTTTAAACGGTAGTGTCTGTTCAGAAAGCAAGCAAATACTCTGGGCATCTACTGTATATTCAACTTACATAGCTGAGTGGATAAGAATATAAGTATTCCTAATATATTAATTCAATTTAATCTGTTAATGATACACATTTATCATAATCATACACACACACGATGGCACCGCAAATGGCAGCCAGGACGCTGAGCTCCGCAATTCTTCTGATGTTTTTGTTTGTTTGTTCTGTGTTTTGTCATTCGTCTTCTATAAGTTTTACCAGAGACGAACTCCTTAACATTAAGCAACACATCCCAGACAATATTTTTCCGGTTTTTGATTATTCGGACGTTTTGTTGGACATTCTAGTCGGAGGAACAGCTGTGTTGTTCAAACGCGCGTGCAGACGCAGAAGAGGGAAACGCGCCGGCGCCCTGGTGAAGCTCCGCGCGCGCGGCTTTCGGACTGCGCTCCCAAGCATTCATCTTGCGAATGTCCGTTCCCTTCCTAACAAAACGGATTAACTTCTTCTCCTCACCCGCACCAACAAGGACTTTTCAAACTCTGCTGCACTGTGCTTCACTGAAACCTGGCTGAGTGAAGCCATTCCGGACAACGCGCTTCATCTGCCAGGCTACCAGCTGTTCAGAGCGGATCGCATCGCGGAGTTAACGGGGAAAACCAGAGGAGGTGGATTGTGTTTCTACATCAACGAACGTTGGTGTTCAGATGTAACAACGCTGAAAAAGGTATGCTGTCCTAATTTAGAGGCATTAGAGGCACTCTGTAAACCTTTCTACTCGCCGCGGGAGTTTTCCTCTTTCATTCTCGTGAATGTGTACGTTGTGTACGTGGCGTGCGTGAGCGCCGCGATGCAACAGCTGGCCGAACAAATAACTGAAATGGAGCAAAGGTACCCAGACTCTATTTTAATCATTCTTGGAGATTTTAACAAATCAAATCTCTCCCGTGAACTGCCAAAATACAAGCAGCACATTACGTGTCCCACCAGAGACAGCACTATTTTGGATCACTGTTACACAGCAATAAAGGATGCATATCACTCATATCACTCTGCAGCTTTGGGGCTCTCTGATCACTGTTTGGTTCATCTAATACCGACCTACAGGCAGAAAAGGCAGAAACCTAAACCGGTATTAAGGACTGTAAAAAGATGGACTAATGAAGCAGAGCAGGATTTACAAGCTTGTTTTGACCTCACTGATTGGAGCATCTTTGAAGCTGCAGCCACCGATCTGGACGAGCTCACAGAGACTGTAACTTCATATATCAGTTTCTGTGAAGATATGTGCATTCCTACCAGGACATTCTTATCATTTAATAATGATAAACCGTGGTTTACTGGGAAACTCAAACAGCTTCGTCACGCCAAAGAGGATGCTTACAGAAGTGGGGATAAAATCTTGTATAACCAGGCCAGGAACAGACTAACAAAGGAGATCAGAGTGGCTAAAAAAAACTACTCAGAAAAGCTGAGAAAAGAGCTTTCAGCAAACGATCCAGCGTCAGTATGGACTGGTCTGAGGAACATCACCATGTACAAGACACCACCCCCACAGCTTGCGGAGAATCAACAATTGGCTGACGATCTGAATGTGTTTTACTGCAGATTTGAAAAGGATCGTCTACCACCCCCCATCCGCTCTGATCTGCACTTCACACCTTCACCTACCACCCCTGCAACCCCCCTCCCTCCCTCCCCCACCATTCAACCTGTGCTTAAGGTCTGTGTAGAGGATGTGAACCGGGTCTTCAGGAAGCAGAAATCTAGAAAAGCTTCAGGCCCAGATGGTGTTTCACCTGCCTGTTTAAAAGTCTGCGCTGACCAACTGGCCCCCATCTTCACACAGATCTTCAACAGATCATTGGAGCTGTGTGAAGTTCCCTGCTGCTTCAAACGCTCCACCATCATTCCGGTCCCCAAAAAGCCCAAAATCACTGGACTTAACGACTACAGACCTGTCGCTCTCACATCTGTGGTCATGAAGTCACTTGAGAGACTGGTCCTGGCCTACCTGAAGGACATCACTAGACCCTTGCTGGATCCTCTTCAGTTTGCCTACAGAGCAAACAGGTCTGTGGATGATGCAGTCAACATGGGACTGCATTACATCCTGCAACACCTCGACAGACCTGGGAATTACGCAAGGATCCTATTTGTGGACTTCAGTTCGGCCTTCAATACCATCATGCCTGACCTTCTCTCAGACAAACTCACCCAGCTCTCCGTGCCCACCTCCATCTGTCAGTGGATCACCAGCTTCCTGACAGACAGGCAGCAGCTAGTGAGGCTGGGCAAACACCAACAAGGACTTTTCAAACTCTGCTGCACTGTGCTTCACTGAAACCTGAAAATGAAGCAGAGCGTGATTTACAAGCCTGATTTGACCTCACTGATTGGAGTGTTTTTGAAGCTGCAGCCACCGATCTGGACGAGCTCACAGAGACTTTAACTTCATGTATAAGTTTCGGTAAAGATATGTGCTCTCCTACCAGGACATTCTTATCATTTAATAATGATAAACCGTGGTTTACTGGGAAACTCAAACAGCTTCGTCACACCAAAGAGGATGCTTACAGAAGTGGGGATAAAATCTTGTA